TAGGGTTTAGGGTTTCCAAGGCCCTAAAGTAGCTATGTAGGGCTTAGGGTTTCCAACGCCCCAAAAACCCAACAGAAACGAACATCCCAAGATCCTATACTACACCGGCTTGGCGTTTGGGTTCTTCGAGTTGAAGGCATTGTGGCCGAATCCAGGGTAGGATTGTAGGTCTTCGGACCTTGCGACTTCAAGCTCAGGAGACTTAACACCCCGGAACCCAAAACCCCCCAACAAAAGCCCTCAAACCATAAACCTCCAGGCCCTACAGCACCACAGAAACCCTGAAGATTTTTCAACACTACTGTAAACATCACCAAGCCCTAATCCCTTACACCCTAAACCCTCAGTTCCTAAAGCACAACAAAACCCTAAACCCTTAACCCTTAAACCCTTAAACGCTTTAGCCCTGAACCCTTAGTCCCTAAAGCACAAAGCAAAACCCTGAAGGTGCCCAGCCTCTTTTCCATGATCTGCACCCAGGCCATGATCCACCAAGGCCTGCGAGGGCCCGGGATCCAACTACTTATAGGAAATCCCAAAAAGTTGGAAACCGGATTAAGTACAAATAGTATTGTAGGAAACACCCAAAAGTTGGAAACCGGTTTAAGGACAAATAGTACAGGGATTCCCTATACATTACTCTTAAAGGAAAAAGGCTATTGGCCTTCCAACCTTCGGAGCTTCTACTGTCATTGTCTATGTAGAGGGATGCTTCATAATGTAGGGGCTTTAATAACTACCAATGCTGTTTTTTGGGGGCTCCTTCTTATATATATATATAATATATATATATATATTATATAATATATATAATATATATAGTATATATATATAGAGTCATAGTACTTACTGTAAGGGGCCTTAATGATTAGAAGAGAGGTTTGGGCTCCTTTATATACTATTCTTTTTAAGAAGGAGCCCTAAGGAAAACTACAAGAAACTGAAATAATTTCCATTTAGGGCTCCTTATTCTAATAGTGCTATAAAGGAGCCCCCCCTCGACTTCATGACGTAATAGAGGGGGTTCAAAATAATGCCTAATACTATTTTGGGGGCTTCTCGCTATAGTTATAGAATCATATACCCTCAAAACCCTATTCTAATTATTAAGGCCCCTACATTACACGATCGGAGGGCTTCGGGCTTGGGGTTTAAGGCTGACAAGGGCTTGGGGTTTAGGGTTTGGGGTTTGGGGTGTAGGTTTTAGGGTTTAGGGTGTAGCGTGCAGGGTTCAGGATTTAGGACCTTTAAGATTGGATTTTATTTTACCTGCATGTTATAAGCTCCTCTAATGTAGAGGCCTTAATAATTAGAATAGGGTTTTGGGGTGAATCGGACATTGGGGTATATTATATCACAATTATAGTAAGGAGCCCCCCAAAATAGTATTTGGTACTTATTAAGGCCCCTTTGTCAGAAACCTGCACTCGTTGCCCTGGAGGAGTCCGGTGCTTCGTCAATCTCCAGGCCGGTCGCAGTTCGAGGGTATCACGGCTTCCTTCAGAGCACCTGGAGTTCCGGCCAAGCTTCTTTGGGTGAAGTCTGAAACCACACAATCCTATTCTAATTAGCAAGGCCCCTATATTACACTCTAAACCTCCCCAAAACCGCCCCTAACCTCCAAAGTTTACGACCTAACCCACAAAACCCCGAAGCCCCCTTCCAAAAAAACAGTACCTATACTATTTTGGGGGTTTCCTTACTAAAGTACTGCTGTGTAAAGGAGCCCCGGCCCCTGGTCGAATGAGAACCCCAGAAAGCGCTGACTGAACCGCCTTAGCTCCCTCAAACCCAGAGAACCCAATACCCCTTCATTAAGGAATATACCTTAAATTATAGGGGCCTTAATATTATGATTTAAGGTATATTCCTTAATTAAGGGGTATTGGGTTCTCTGGGAAAGGCTGCGGCGTGCGTGGCGGCAGGGCTCGTATTCTGGCTCGGCTACGCCCGCAGCCCTCCCGCCTGGCTGGTTGAGCGAGACGCGAAGAGCTGACAAGGGGGTTCCTAGACGGTTTCTATAGGGGTTCCATAAGGGTTCTACAGGAGTTCTAGTAGGGTTTCTATAGGATTACCTAGACTTGTTGAGGTTTTAGGGTGCGGGCTCAGGAGTTTTAGTAAGCCCGAAATTAAGAGGAGAAGACGCCGTCACCCTCCAAAGTGGGGAAGAACGCGTCTGGAGTGCCTCGGGAGAAAGATGGGCTTCATTCACACGCCTACACTGACAGACGTACAGACGAAACTTCTCTTCGGCGCGTAAATTTGCAACCAGAGCCATTTGGAGCCTTCCAGAGTGTCATATGGTTCTCGCAGCTAGCATTGAAGCAGATCTGATAGTTCGTGCCCTGACCGGATTTTTGACCGATGGCACGAGTGGGTTTGCTGTTCGCCGATACTTCCCGGTCACTTTGATATACTGGCCCTAGTCTCTCTAAAGCGTAATCCCCGAACCGGAAGTGTCGCTCAAGCTGTCTGCTTGTTCCTTGAGGGCTCGGATTCTGTGGACACTGCTCGTCTAGGAGTCTAGGCCTTGAGGGACATCCGAAAAAATGGCAGAAAGTCTTGTCGCGAGAATTTTCGGGCCTAGCTAGGATTGACGGGTTGTGGCTGGGTTGTGTTTGTGTGCCAAACTCTTGCAGAGGCTTGAGTTTCGCTCTTTGATTAGACCCACCCAGCATCCAGCCAAAACCCCTGAACCTTTCCCTCAAACCTTGAAGGGAGGTTATGCTATATCTTCCCTTATTGGGCCTAAGAGGATCTTATTTACGCGTATTTTTCGCTTTGAGGGTCCAATCTACGTATCTTCCAGCTTCAAAGCCTCAGCCACTCGTTGTTCAGGCTGCTGGTTGAGTTCCCGGGTGCAAAGGCGGGGTGGGAAGCGGAAGGCTTGGCAAGGCTTTGAGCACCAACGCCTACTTCCCTCAACCCCTAAACCCCAAATCCCAACCCTAAACCCCAAACCCGTATACTGAATTCGAGAGGCCCATAACCTCTAGCCTTTAAGGTGAAACCTCAAACTCCTAATCCCAACCCCAAATGCAGAAAAACCAGGAACGTCCTGCGGGCATACAGTCGACAAGCTCTACCTTGGGTGCTGGGTAGGGTTTCTGCAGATAACTTCATCCTCGCTCTGCGGCATGTCACATGAGGAAGTTCATGATTCAGCATTTGGAGTCTATTAGAACTTTTGTGCATGGACAGGACGAAGGCATCAGCGACGGGGCGAGCCCGGTCTATGCTGCAGCGATGAAGGACCACACAGAGGTTCACTGCGGGGGTCATGTAACCCTGAGCCTGAAATCCCGTTAGAGTCTGCAATTGAGGGTTCAAGGGCTTAGCTAGGTGGCAGTTTGGAATACACTATACTGTCCCTTATGGTCTTGTGAGGTATCATATCTATGCAGACTCAAGTTGAGGGGGCACCGCCACAACAACCCAGCTGTCGGTGTGTTCGGAGTTTGGAGCAAGCGCTGATGCGAAGAGGGATTCGCATGGGGGCTTCTGGAGACTGTAGCGAGGCTACCTAAACCCTAAGCCGAAACCCTAAACCCTGCCTGCCCTGAGCCCCCGCAGCCTCCACAAGAAAACCTCCGACAGGTGCTGGAGGCGTTGCTCGATGCCCGTGCCAATGCCGACACCACCAAGGAAGTTTCATTCTCGGTGATTGTAATAAAACTCTGAGGGATTATTTAAAATGGCAGTGCGCTGTGGTTCTAAGGGCGCTTAAGCTCTCGGTCAAGCGATGTGCCATTACGAGACGGGGCAGTGCTTGGTCGTTTCCCAGCAGGCATGACAGTGATAAGTCAATACGAATGATCAAAAATGGCATTGTGTTGGTTTCAGTGATTATGAGACGATTCAGCGGTTGACAATCCACGAACACAAAAATATGTACGAGCAATCAGCAAAAGATCACAGGAATGAATAAGGAGAGGAAGAAAGTCAGAAAACCACAGAGGACGGAAGAAACCCCAAACCCCAAGCCCCAAACCCTAAGCCTCCCAGCAGGACGATGGCGCCTCTGCGGCTTTTATCGCCACGCAGTTCGGCAGTCCGAAGGTCGGCTGTTTTGGGGTTTCGGGTTTTGGGGTTTTGGGTTTTAGTGGGTAGGTAGGATTTGGCATGATGGGTTTAGGGTTTCGGGTCCAGGAGTTTAGGATTTAGGAGTATGTACCTATGTGTTCAAGATGGCCGCAAGCAGTTTTTGAGCTTCTTGGTTCGCCGCAACTTTTTCCGGAAGGGCTTTCGAGTTTTTTGCAGTAGGGTAGATTTAGGGGTTTGGGGATTTAAAGGTCCTCGAAGCTTTGTAGGTTGTGAGGGCTTCATCAGTGTGGCTTCAGGGTGCTGCTTTCTTTTGGAAGTTCTTGTTGCATTTTTGGGGTAGAGGGGGGGGGGGGCAGACTGGCACAACTGAGCCCTTCGCCTAAAGCCTCAAAGGCCCCCAATCCCCCAGCTATAAACCCCAGAAGCCCTCGTTCACGGCGTTTGGGGCTGCCAGAAAATCCGGGGTGAACGAAGACCTTAAAGCTACGACCCTTACTGTACAGCCCGAAACTGATACTTGTCCGACTTAGTCTGTCAGGTTATAAGTACTTAGTGTAACTATGAATTTACGTAAAGTTACAACTGGACCTCCCCATAGTTGCCTTACTTGCAACCCTACTTACTAAGTCCCGCGGTTCGCTACTTTCGCTACGACCCCCCCCCTCATTTCAATCGGAGCTTCGCGGCGTCGCAGGCCCTGAACCTTCTCCTCGGCACGTCGGCAGATCCGAACCGCGCTCGGCAGGAGGCGTCCTCGATCAGTTTGTGGGTTAGGCGCGGGATAGGGGTTGAGGTGTTTGGGGTTGAGGTGTTTACGTTTCTTGAGGTTTGGGGTTCTGGCTTATGAACTTTCTTGCGGAGAATCACTTGCGACTGAGAGAGTCTGGACTTCTGGCGGTGTAGGAGAGGAGTTGAGGCTTCGGAGTTCGGCTTCCTGGATGGCTCTTCTGCCAGCAGTCTGGCTGGTAGTTACCGTTATAAGAGCCTTATAGAAGGTCTGTATACCTTATAGAAGCCTTATAGAAGCCCTATATACCCCTAAACTCCCCACCTGTAGTTTGCTTTAGTTGTGGTGTCATCCCGGGCACAGCGAAGTGTGGGCACACCACCCCAACCCCCCCAAAACCGAAGTCAGACCCTGGGTTTGGCAGCCTTTGGCCTCGATGCTCCGGTTTCGGATGTTCTTCGATCGAGTTTCGGTTTCGGGACCTCGGAACAAAGAGGGTTCATCATTTAGGGTGTAGGGTCTGAGATCTTCGCAGCGCACGATTGCAGTTGCAGTCGTGCTCACGGCTCAGGGTTTTGGTGGCTGATTCCCTAGATGGAGCCCCTTGAGCGCATCTGACAGACCCGCCAGAAGGGGTAGTGCTTAGAATCCCAAGCCCGAAATCCCAAGCCCGAGCTCAACACGTGAACCACGACGAACCCAGAGAACCCAATATCCCTTAATATAATAGACCACTTAAATCATAATATCAAGGCCCGTATAATTTAAGGTATATTCCTTAATTAAGGGGTATCGGGTTCTCTGGGAAACGTGAGCTTCCGAATCAAAAACCGACAGCAGAGGACGGCGTGGCTCCAGCGTACATGGCGGTGCAGAGCGGCCATGCCGAGGAACTCAAGATGCTGCTGGAGGCCTCTGCTACGTGGGTAGTTCTCTAAAGTAGTGTCCCTTTTTCGGGTCCTTTTATACGGGTGCCGTACTATATTGGGGAGCTAGAAGGGGACCCTAATTTAGAGAACTAACCATGTGTCACTTGATTTGAGCTTCAGCTTGTCAGGATTCCGGGTTTCCGGCCGAGGTCCGGGGGTTTGGGCTGGATCACAGCTTTCCTCAGCTTCTTCCGTGATTAACGAGTTTCTTCCATCCCTGGAATGCAGGTTTTCGCTTTTGCAACCATGCACGACACGCTGTCGAGGTTTTGTCACTGAAGCATGTGGAACCAGTTGGAATGTCGGCTCCACCAGAGGGGTACTTATCTAATTGCCCCACAAGCAGAGCTGTTTCTTGTAGGAAACATGAAGTCTCCATCCCGAAAAGGGAGGCCTCGTCTTGGCGCCCTCTGCCTTCTGGGCCTTCTACTCGGAGCCGCTCTGCCGGCCTCCGTTCCGCCTCTCTGGTGGCGGAAGGGTCGACCTCGGAAGAGTTTGGGGAGCAGAGCTGAGGCGGAGCTCCTCTGCCAGCTGGCCGTTCTGCTGATGCCGGATGTGCCCATTGCCGAGGCTTTTCGCGATTTTCCGGTGGAGAAGTCGGAAGAGTGGGGTTCCAGCAGACTGTCCCCGGATTTGACAGCTTACGGTGTGCTCAAAGCAACCGATGCTGCCCTGTTTATCGAGTATGACGGCCATTATCGGCACTTGGAGCCACCGGGCCTAGCCAGGGACATGCGTAAGACCAGTGCCCTATTACAGCTCGTGCCTGCAGGATCGCTGGTAGTGCGTATCGCACACAAGGAGCGGCAGTGGAAGGATAAGTCAATGCAGGTATTGGTGGATTGCTGGTTTACTGATCATGAGCCTTCTCTCCTCAAGGCTGTACATCAGGTCGTGGCTTCTCTGTTGGAGCAGTCCCGTGGCAGGCTGCATCCCACACTAGCTTCACGCCTGGAATCCTTTGCTGCAGAAGGAGGAATGGACACGGATGGAGGCATTTGTGCAAAGGAGGCAGACCTGGCTGGCATGTCAGACAGGAGACGAGCGAATTTGGAAGACTTTCTTTGTGATGGCGCACACCTGACTGCCTCGCAGGTTGCCAAGGTGATCGCGACATCTCCTGCAGTGCTTGGTTACAGCATTCAGGCAAATCTGAAGCCAACAGTGGAATGGATCAAGGGGCTGGGCCTGAGCCGGTCGCAAGTTGCCAAGGTGATCGCGGCATTTCCCCCAGTGCTTGGCTTGAGCATCGAGGCAAACCTGACGCCAACAGTCGAATGGATCAAAGGATTGGGTCTGAGCCAGTCGCAGGTTGCCAAGGTGATCGCGACATCTCCTGCAGTGCTTGGTTACAGCATTCAGGCAAATCTGAAGCCAACAGTGGAATGGATCAAGGGGCTGGGCCTGAGCCGGTCGCAAGTTGCCAAGGTGATCGCGGCATTTCCCCCAGTGCTTGGCTTGAGCATTGAGGCTAATCTGCAGCCAACGGTCGAATGGATCAAGGGGCTGGGCCTGAGCCAGTCTCAGGTTGCGAAGGTGATCGCGACACGTCCTGCAGTGCTTGGTTACAGCATTGAGGCCAACCTGAAGCCAACAGTCGAATGGATCAAAGGGTTGGGCCTGAGCCAGTCGCAGGTTGCCAAGGTGATCGCGAAACATCCACCAGTGCTTGGCTACAGCATTGAGGCAAATCTGAAGCCAACAGTGGAATGGATCAAGGGGCTGGGCCTGAGCCAGTCGCAGGTTGCCAAGGCGATCTCGAGGTTTCCCCAAGTGCTTTCCTTGAGCATTGAGGCCAATTTGAAGCCAACAATGGAGTGGATGAAAGGGTTAGGGATGAGCCGATGTCAAATTGGCAAGCTGATCGCAGCATTTCCTTCGGTGTTCGGCCTTCGTATCGACACAAATCTGTCAGCGAAACACCGCCTTCTACAGGATTTTTTCCCCGGAGCGCAGGCAGCACAGTTGCTGGCCCACTCACCTCGCCTGTGGAGCTATACGTATGCTCGACTTGAGCATCGTCTGTCAGTGCTGAAATCTCACAACGAGCTCTCCAAACTTGCGGGCGCCATGACACTTCCAGTGGATGCATTCAGTCGCAGGTATCCTGGGACATGCAGGACGTGCACGCCGACAGACGGGACGCCACGATACCACAAGCGACCTGTGGGCAGTATCTTGTCTCATGGAAATGGCCTGTTGTTTTGGTCGGGGTCCGACGTGCAGACCTTGGTGTAGAAAGCAGGAATCAGGCTGACCCCTAACTTTTAGAGTAGCTGCACATTGTACCTTGGCGGTCAGAGCTTGAACCGCCACGGCTTTTCGGGTTCTCTTGTTCCCCAAACCAGATACTCCTTCTGGAGCCCAAGAACCCAAATCTGCGAAGGTCCATCTCCAATTCCAGACAGCCACACTCTGCCCAGATCTACCCAAACTGCTCAAGATGCCGAGAGTCTTTTGCCATTTGCGTGTTCTGCAGCTGCAGGCCCCGAGGTATGCCAACTCAGCCTTGTCCGAGAAAACGCGTCTCAAGTCTTAACACTCGTGTTCGGTGTTTGACCAGCCATGCCTCCAGGACGGAGTCCTGCTCGACATTCGTTCCCATCGCTATGTTTCTATGTAGTCTTGTCCCTCTGTCGTTCATCATTTTAAAATTCGAAGCTCCGCAAAAAGCCCCGAAACCGTGGCCCCGTCGCAGGCACGGGCCAGCCCCAACCAGCTCACGATCAAGGCCGGAAGCCACTGGATTTTTTTTTTTTGGGGGGGCCCTTTTGGTGCAACCTGCAGTCCGCAGCCCGAACTCTGGCAAATTTTTGGTTTTTGGAGTTGTTTGGCCGATACTCGGGTTCAGAGTGCGTGGGTTCCGAAATCGAGAGGGACCCTCTCCTGCAGCTTCTACCGCTTGTTGCTTGTCTCGACCCTCTGCAGCATGCCTCAAAACCCGGGCCTGAAATCTAAGCACATGAGCCTTCAGTCTCCAAGAAGTTCGAGCTCTAAGGCGCATGCTGCAACCTCCGGCCAGTTCCCGAAAAGCCCACCACCCCTTAGTTGAAGAATGTAGATTAGATCATATTCCTTGGCTAAGGAGTGTTGGGCTGTTTGCTCCACCAAGCCATGATCGGTCCCAGTCGCTCCATATGGATGAACACAAAAAACTCTGAAGCGAACACTGGAGCCTTAGTGGCCCAGAGCACTAGGCATTGGTAAAGCTCACAGGGTTGCAAACACTGCTTGCCCTAACCTAAACCCCAAGGAGTGAAGTACCCGCCATAGAAGCAGGAAGCTTTTCCGGAAATGCACTGCAAGTCTATTCTTTCGGACTTTGCCATCTCCTCTGTGTGCTGCAGCAAGATCTCTGGCCTTGCAACTTTTCACCGCTTGATCGTAGACAAATCATCACTCCTGGCCCTAAAACCCTCTTGAGAATCTAGTCCAAAGGATCACAAACCTTCAGACAGTGCTCTGAAAACCATATCGGAGCCCGAAATTGCGACCCAGGGCGCCTCGCCCTTGCACCTGGCGGCGCAGCTGGGCAAGCCGGAGCTGGTGAGTCTCCTGCTTGAGCTGGAGGCGAGGAATTTTCAGCTGGATTTGTTTAAACATCTTCGCGTTTTGGAAGTCTTTCCAGGCATTACAATGGGGTGGCTGAGATGGCTTCTTAGTTTTTTTGGGTGTTTGTTGGCTTGCTGCTTTGAGGCTTCCTGGGTGAGCGTTCCGCACATACGTGTCATGACACGCAACTTCCGTGTATATTTTCTCGAAAGCATGCCATCGACCACAAGGCTTCGGACAAATGCAAGCAATGCTACAAGCCTAAAGGCCTCACACCCTGAACATCAAGACTCAAATCCGAATCGCATCACCTCTTCCTACGCTGTATAGACGCGTGGTCTGAAGCGTGGTCTCAAAACAGTCAGCTCCTCGATCAACTGTGGGGGGCCGTGGGGCTTGGACCTGTGGGCTTGCAATGTCTGTGCTTGAAGCACTCTCAGGGATTGGGATTGAGCCAAGGAGGTGGCATTCAGCTGCTGATCTACGATTCAAGAGACCAACACCAGGACAGCACTTCCTCAGCCCCACTCTCTAGAAGTCGTGATTGCCGTCCAGGACAGGCAAGTTGAACCCTTGTATACACTCTTGAATCTCGGATTGGTGCTTGTAGGGTATCGGGCATCCCGAAACTTAAGCGCCATGTCCCAAAACCCTAAATCTCAGCCCCGAATCATTAAGGCCGGTATCGTATACAGCCTTTATTATTACACCGCTTGAAGGAACCCTCAAGGGAATCCGACATTCTGCTTTTGGGTTTCGGGAACCTCGGCTCTTACATGAGGCGGATCCGAACCTCGCATCGTCCCAGGCACGGTTTGGGTGCTCGGGGGCTTCGAGTGTTGTGCGGACTTAGTCTTCAGAGTTTGGGGTCTTTAGGATTTGAGGGCTTAAAGTGTCCGGTAGGGCCTAGGATTTCGGGCTTGCGGCAAAGGCCCTAAACCCTAAACCCTAAAACCCTGAACCCCAACCCTGAACCCTAAACGGTAAAGGCTGGATCCGGCGCTTGCTGCTTGCAGTGAGCATGGTTTGAAGCTGAAGCCTTGGACGCAGCGTTTGGACTCCCAATCTTCCAGCCAAGAAGGAGCTGCCCGAAAGAGGGCCAGGGGCTTTTAGAAGGGTTCCTTTAGGAACCAAAAAGGATGCTATTGTTGAGGGTTCCCTGAAGACCCCAAGGCCCAGATTCCTAGATTGTGTGGGGAGACAGGTGGGTAGTTTTCAAGATTAGGGTCCCTTGTTTATAAGGGCGCCATCGTATTTTAGAGAGCTGCCCGTGTTTATCAACTATGACCTGACCTTCAAGCTGTGATTTCGGGTTGCGCGGTTCTGCCAGGCCCTGCCCTTGACCTCTGCAGCTCCTATCTCGAGGCCCCAAAAGCCCAACAGCCTTAGTTAGAGCTTCAGGGAAGTTAGTAAACCAGACCCACAACTACGTTCGTTCGGGTTATGAGTAGGGAATTGCATCTATATATTTTGCTTACTTGTAGCCCGGAGTCCTGGATCCTCCAAGTGCACCTGCCCTTAAAAGCTGGCCCCTCGTTCCAACCAAGTCCAAGACCCGAATCCAATGGCAAAGCCTACGTCTAACGTCATCAGCCTTACACCACACCGCGCCTGACTCCTTACATCCCCAAATGGGTAGTTTTCTAAATTAGGGTTCTTTCAGGGTCCATTTTATAAGGGTGCCGTATTAATGTTGGGGACCTAAAAAGGGAGCCTATTTTAGAGAACTACCCAAAGCTCTACCCCAGATTTAAACCTGCAGGTCCCAAGCACAACAGTCCAACGCCCCCAGGGCCAGACAGCGCTGTCCCTGGCGTCGCACAAGAAGGTCAGAAGCATACTCCAGGAGGCGCCGAAGCTCCACTACTTTGGGAGTCTCAAGTCGGAAGGGGGTCTAGGCTTCAGTAGTGCTTGGGTTTTCTGTGGTTTAGGGGCTGAGGGTTGGATGTGAAGTGTTTCGGTTTCAGGGCGTTCAGGCTTATGGCTTTCAAGGCCTCGCAGCTTGAACCCACGAGTTTCTTCTTGGGGATCCGGCTTTGGAGTTCTTTGCTGGTTGGTTTTGCTTCCGGTGGGCTTTGAAGATGCAAGGTCTCGAGCCCGAGAGTTTTAAGATGCTTAAGGCTTTAGGGCTTTAGGGTCTTCGGTTCGAATCTGCAGGAGTTGGGATGTTGCTCTTGACACTTGCAGCCCGTGGAAGCCCAAACTTGCGATAGTGACACAGGCCTTTCACTCGCAGAATAATGCGAACCCGAACGCAAGCTCAAAATGAAGACCCTGAAATCCTGATCCGACAACTCAGAATCGTAATCTTTCATCTGAAATCCCGAAACCCCAAAACGGTTTGGGTTTGGTGACCTCCTTTGGTGGGTACCGTTGAGGCCCCAGTCAGCCAAGCAGATTAGCGTCGGTAGCTTGCCGCACGATGTTGTCTTGACTTCAGCCGACGTCGAAGATGCAGCATCCATCTTTGAGACGATGGCTTCGTCGGGGTGGTCTGGTACACCGCCCCTGTGCGAATCTTCCTCGCTTCACCTTCGGAGCTGCTTTGACGGAATCGACCCCACCGGCTTGGTGGCTGAAGGGCCGACCTCGGAACGTCTTTCAGAGTAGGGCTGAGGTAGAGCTTCTCTCCCAGCTGGCAGTGCTGCTGATGCCGGATGAGCCCATTGCCGCGGTCTTCCGCGATTTTCCGGTTCAGAGGTGCAAAGAGTGGGGTTCCAGCAGATTGTGCCCAGATTTCGCAGCACACGGGGTGCTGAAAAGAAAAGGTGCTGCACTGTTCATCGAGTACGATGGTTATTACCGTCACATGGAGCCACAGGGCCTAAACAGGGACGTGCGCAAGACAAGTGCACTGCTGAAGTTCGCCCCTGTGGGATCTATCGTACTGCGAATCGCGCACAAGGAGCGACAGTGGAAGGACAAGTCCGTGCAAGTATTGGTGGACTGTTGGCAGTCCGAGCACGTGCCCTCGCTTCACAAAACGGTGAGGCAAGTTGTGGCTTCTCTGCTGCAGTCTTGTCGTGCGGAGCTGGTGCCCGGGCTCGTGGCACAGCTTGAGGCACGTGCCCCAACGCAAATCGACAGGCACGCAAAAGCCTTTGCAGAGGACGCCGAGCTGGTGGGCAGCGCGTCTCGCAGCAATGGGCTAGCAGTTGAAGAGTTTCTCCAGAATGAGATGCAGCTGACACCAGTCCAAGTTGCCAGGACGATTGATAGGTTTCCTTCATTGCTTGGCTACAGCATCGAGGAGAATCTGAAGCCGACGGTCGAATGGGTCAAGGGGTTGGGCCTGAGCCAGTCGCAGGTTGCTAAGGTGATCGCGACCTTTCCCCCAGTGCTTGGCTTGAGCATAGTGGCAAACCTGAAGCCGACGGTCGACTGGGTCAAAGGGTTTGGCCTGAGCCAGTCGCAGGTCGCGAAGGTGATCGCGACCTTTCCCCCAGTGCTTGGCTACAGCATTGAGGCAAACCTGAAGCNNGCCAACAGTCGAATGGATCAAAGGGTTGGGCCTGAGCCAGTCGCAGGTTGCGAAGGTGATCACGATGTCTCCCCAAGTGCTTGGCTTGAGCATTGAGGCAAATCTGAACACAACGGTCGAATGGATCAAGGGGCTGGGCCTGAGCCGCTCGCAAGTTTGTAAGATGATCGCATGCTGTCCTCAAGTGCTTGGCTTGAGCATTGAGGCAAATCTCAAGCCAACAGTGGAATGGATCGAAGAGTTGGGCCTGAGCCAGTCGCAGGTTGCGAAGGTGATCGCGACTCGTCCTTCAGTGCTTGGCTTGAGCATTGAGGCAAACCTGAAGCCAACAGTCGAATGGATCAAAGAGTTGGGCCTGAGCCAGTCGCAGGTTGCGAAGGTGATCGCGACATGTCCTGCAGTGCTTGGCTACAGCATTGAGGCAAACCTGAAGCCGACAGTCGAATGGGTCAAAGGGTTGGGCCTGAGCCAGTCGCAGGTTGCCAAGGTGATCGCGACCTTTCCCGCAGTGCTTGGCTTGAGCATTGAGGCAAACCTGAAGCCGACGGTCGAATGGATCAAAGGGTTGGGCCTGAGCCAGTCGCAGGTTGCCAAGGTGATCGCGACATGTCCTGCAGTGCTTGGCTTGAGCATTGAGGCAAATCTGGAGCCAACAGTCGAATGGATCAAAGGGTTGGGTCTGAGACAGCCGCAGGTTGCCAAGATGATTGCGACACGTCCTGCAATGCTTGGCTGCAGTATTGAGACAAACCTGAAGCCAACAGTCGAATGGATCAAAGGGTTGGGCCTGAGCCAGTCCCAGGTTGCGAAGGTGGTCACGACGTCTCCCCAAGTGCTTTGCTTGAGCATTGAGGCAAACCTGAAGCCGACAGTCGCATGGATCAAGGGGTTGGGCCTGAGCCAGTCGCAGGTTGGCAAGGTGATCGCGGCATATCCCCCAGTGCTTGGCTTGAACGTTGAGTCAAATCTAAGGGTGAAATATGCGTCAATAGAAAGTTTCTTCCCGGGCGCAGCTGCAGCAAAGCTTCTGGCGAGAGCACCGTGTGTCTGGGGCTATCGGCACGCTCGGCTTGAGTATCGTCTGCACGTGCTACAGTCTCACGGGCAGCTTTCCAAGCTTGCCGGCGCCATGACGTTGGGGTTGGATGCCTTCAACCGCAGATTCACAAGCTCACCGCTGCCGGCACAGCCGAAAATTCAGCTTGGCTTCGACAGGGCTCAAACGGATACGAGGGCTTCCCTTGTTTGGGGGCTATAGGCTGTTGGGTTCAGTGCCATTTGGAGTCTCCACTCCAGAGTTGTGGAGTGGAGTCGATCGAGGAGTTTAGGGTTTTGGACTTAAGGTTTGCTGGTTTGAGTGCTGCAGGCCCAGGGCTCCAGAGCCATAGCATTGAAAGCTATCGGGTGCTGGATTTGGGGGTCGTACCATGCGCCAGGCAACAGTCTCCACATCCGAAGCTCTAAGCCCACAGGCCCATGACCATCTTGCAGAGTAGTGTCTGCAAGCTGCTAACCCCGGCACCGGGAACACCCTCAGAGGTCGGAGTAGCTGTCAGAAAAAGACTAAAGCTACTGCAGGGCCTCTGTGATAGGAATGGGTCCGAAGGAATGTATCACTGCGATTATTCCCGGGTCCCCAAACCATATTACAAGCAGCAGTTCTTGAGGTGCCTCTCTTCGAAGTGGAATCTGCTAAGCTCTTGGAAACGCAGAAGACTTCCGGAACCTCAAGTACCCTGGGCATTCACTCCGTGCGGTGTTGCGTCCCAGAGTCTTAGACATGCCGAATCTCAAGCCCTAAGCCCCCGAAATCGACGACTTACTTAGCCCCAGAGGCGATGAAGCCTAAACGGCGCTCAACCCGAACCCTACAACTTTAATGCCCACTCCAAGCCTCGCAAGCCTAGCCTTCAAACCCGAATGCCGAAATTATAGAAGCTTTCCATGCATCTGGGAGGCACTACAAGGCCTAAAACCCTGAACCCTCAACCCTTGTCGAACCTCATCCCAAACCCCCAGAACCTTCCAAAACCACCCAAAACCTCGGAGGCGGGTGCCAAGATCGAGGTCGCCCAGCCCCAAGCCGAGCCGAGCCCGGGTTCGGCGGCGTCGCCGAAGCGGCGCGGCGGCGGTTTTATGTGGGCGTGAGATGGAAAGACTGGGGTTACTTCAAAGGGTTTCCTAGAGGTCCTAAAGGAGTTCTTTAATGGGTCTGAAGGGGTGGGCGTGAGGTGGAAAGACTGGGGTTATATACTTTTCTGGGTTTCCTGAAAAGGGAATCTTCGAGGGCTCTGAAAGAAAAATTACTTGTGGGGCGGGGGGTGGTT